CCGGAGGGTACAGCCTCTTTCAAGCCGACAACTAAGACCAGCAAGGTCAACCGTATCTGCGATGCGTTTCTGGCCACCCTTGAGAAACACTTGGACACCAACTTGCATAACCTCGTCACTGCACATGTTTGCAAATCGCCACCGGATCTCGAATCTGGACTTCAGCTTGTCGCTCGCCTGAGAGGTTTGATTACAATCGCCAGTACTCCTTTGCCAACTAGTTGCTGACCGTCCTACAGAACAAAGCGCGGAGCAAGCAGAGGACGCAATTGAGCATATGTGTTTCCTCACAGATGCTCACCGTCTATACGACCATGCATTGGGTCTCTACGACCTCGAGCTCACTTTGTTGGTTGCTCAACAGGCTCAAAGGGTAAGGTTGGCGCCGTGTGACTGGCGAACGAGTCTCTAACTTCGTGCAGGACCCCCGAGAATACCTCCCATTTCTGCGGAAACTTCAGCAGCTTCCTGAAGATCGACGCCGTTTCGAAATAGACAACTATCTTGGCCGCTGGGCCAAGGCTCTGAAGCATCTCCACACTCTCAACGCATATGACGAGATACGCGTTTATGTCATAAAGCATGAGCTGTACAAAGAAGCGATTGACTTGTTCAAGTATCAGCCGGAGCAGCTGCGTGACATAACACATGTCTATGCTGACTTCCTGCACGACCACTCCAAATACAAAGAAGCAGGAATCGGTACGTCTCTCCATTCTTAGATAATCCCGCCAAGCAGAACTGCGAACACACTGATGCTGACTTCTTTCTAGCTTACGAGTCTCTCTCGCTCTACGAAGATGCATACAAGTGCTATCACCTGGCGCACCTCTGGCGCGAGTCTCTATACTGTGCCCTGATGGTTCCCCTACCGGAAGCCGACCTCACCGCACACGCACTTGCTCTATCGACTACACTGACAGAAGAAAGCCGCGACTATGTCTCTGCAGCTCAAATCCACGCAGAGCACCTGCACGACATCCCGGCAGCCGCCCGCCTCCTCTGCCGCGGCTCTCGCTTCGCGGATGCCACGCGTATCCTTGCGCTCCACGGCAAAAAGGATCTGATCCCAGAGATTGTGGACACAGGTCTCGCAGATGCCATGGGAGCCACGACGGACCTCCTCGCCGACTTCAGGTCGCAGTTGAACGCCCAGGTCCCTCGTATCCGAGAACTACGTGAACGCCGTGCTGCCGATCCCCTGGCGTATTTCGGTGGTGATCCAACCACCGGTGACCTTGGAATTGATATTCCAGATAACGTCTCTCTGGCTCCCACGGACGCCTCCACACTGGCTGGTCGCACCATGTTCACGAGGTACACCGGCAAAACGACATCCTCACGACATACGTCCAAGACCCGGCGGCGAGAGGAGCGGAAGCGGGCGCGTGGTAAAAAGGGCACGGTCTACGAAGAAGAGTACCTGGTCAACAGTGTGCGGCGACTCATTGAACGGGTCAACTCGACTGTTCCCGAGGTGGAAACGCTTGTTGACGCACTCCTGCGGCGGGGGATGCGCGAGCGCGCCGTTGCTATTGAAAAAGCTATGCAGGAAGTGCTAAAGATGTGTGCTGAAAGTAGGGAGGAAGTTTCCGGCGCCCCGGAACAAGATGAGAGTGAAAATGCCGCAGAGGGGCTCGACAGGGAAGACGTTGACGGTGCCGAAGAACTTAGACCTCGTGGGGGGCAGCGCGTGTTCGCTGAGAGTGTCAGGTCCGTGCTCGGCACCGGTATTCCAGGGCGGGAAGTCCCACCGGTCAAGGAAATGAAGAAATCTGCCCTGCTGAACTAGTCTCCTGACATGAATGGGTTTGAGTATGTTTGTTGGCTACTATCTGCTAGGGTAAATACTGGATAGATAAAAAGGAGATATAAACCCGAAATCCAACAGTGTCTGGACCACGTGCTAATGGACGTTGCACCATCCAATGCTGTAAAAATCATGATATGCAGTTGTAGCTTGATTTAGATGTGCATGACTGAACGGTGTTATTAAAGCCATAAAGGACGATAAGGAAAGATAAGGAAAGATAAGGAAAGATAAGGAAAGAAAATGATCACAGCTGGGTATCTTTTCGTATCAAGCACCATGTTCCAGGGCACTTGTACATAGCTGATTAAGATGTTTTGCAGCGCTCATAGCATTTCAAGAAGCGAGGATATCACCCGTCGCGCTCACAAGGTGATCCTCCACGCTGATAGGACCCTCCCCGACACCAGTCAGAATGACGCGGCTGATGCCGTTCTTCAAGACTTCTACAGCTCTAGAGTCAACATTCTCCAGAGGCACGACTGAAGCAGTGACATTCTTCAAGATATCATAGAATGGGCCGTCGAACCCTTCGGTGTTGGGGCCCAAAATAGCCTTGACGGTTCCTGCGACCACCTCCGAGTCTTTCTCAAGGTAGTAGATAACGGCATTCGGGCCAGCGTCGAATGTGTAAGCACACACAGTCCGGCCAACAGCACGGTTGATGTCGTGGACGAGTCTCACGGCAGCTCTGGAGACGTCGTTCATGTAGAAGATCGGAGGCCAGGAGTCGAGGCAAGTTGCGTGGAAACTGTTAGAGTCACGCATGGTGATTTCCGCAAAGGTAGCGAAGTCCTTGTTCTGGATTGCCGTCTCAATGGCGGCCATCCGCTCAGGGACAACAGATGCGGCCCGGGTAGCAAAGAGACTCGAGGTAGCAACTGTAGTCTGCATACCCTCTGTACTGGGGACGTCTTTCTTCTCGGCACTAACCACCAGGATAATTGCACGCATCTCAGGCCAATGAGATGCGGGAGCGACTTCCTCAGCCAGACTGTCGCTACCATCTTCCCGCTCGCCAGCACGCCAGGCAACATAACCGCCCATCAGAGACCGACAAGCAGAGCCGGAACCCTGACGGGCAATACGGCTGAGCTCCAGAGGAGATTGTGGAAGCTGATAAAGATCTGCTATAGCACGGACAAGGGCTGCGAAACCAGCAGCTGAGCTCGCGAGACCAGCAGCGGTGGGGAAGTTGTTCTCGGAAACAATTCGCAATGGGAGAGCAGACAGTTTAGGCAATGAGGGGTCGGCATTTTCGAGAGCCTGACGGAGGGAACGTAGGTTGGAGAGACAAGCGAGTGTGCGTTTGGAGGACTGAATATCCTGTGGCTTGCCGTTCAAGATGAGCTCGTCTGCGGCGGGGTAGATAGCTGAGCAGGAGGCGGTAGTGAGGGTTCGGAGGGAGCGCTGAGAGAGGGTAACAGAGAGGGAGGAATTGGTTGGCAGATTCAGAGACGCATCTCTTTTACCCCAATACCTAGAGGACCCTGTTAGGAGGAAACAAGAATCACCACAGGACGGATTAGGGGGCGATAGTCAACTCACTTAATAACAGCAATATTGACCGGGGCGGTAGTGGTAGCACGATAGACGGTATGATCAGAAGTAGCCGCCATCTTGTTCGAATGCAAGGGAGTTGCGTTTCTGTCGAAAGCAGGGGGGAAAAGTAGTGTACTATAAACTCAATTGCTGATGAGGGGCTGTGGATTATTTGACCATCTCGGGCGTTACCCTTTCGGGCAATCAGCGCACTTCTAGGTACAGTACGGAGCAGTGCGGTGTACCTCTCGAAAGGGTCGGCGGTGAAAGGCGGTCAAACATCCGAAATCCTTCTCCGCCTTCCGAATCTCTTGACTAATCCAGCAATTTTTATGGGTGCTTTCAGTGAAATAGATCCTGCGATCGTACATCTTGTCTTGGATTGGTTGTCTGCAATTCACCAAAATGGGCGCCGGTGCAAGTACGCCATTCGTTCCCCCTGCAGACTCAGCGCCCGCTGCAACCTGTCCTGTCGACCACAAAACCCGTGAGGTATGGTTGCAGCAGCACAAGGCTTCGGGCGGAGCTCCCCATCCTCTGCCTGGCGAAGAAGAGAAAACGAAGACAAAGCTCCAGCGGCCTTTGTCCACCGATCGTGAAGTGAGCAGCATACCACGCGCTTTCGATGCCTCATCGCGAGCATCGTCCTCCGAAGCGCCCGCCGCATGTCCGTCGCCATATGCCGCATCGCACGGCACACCATCGAATGCAGAGGCCGAGACGGGTCATGACCAGAATACAGGCAATTGGATCTATCCATCTGAGCGACAATTCTTCGAGGCTCTAGTACGGAAAGGAAACACGCCTGCGACCACAAGCTCCGCGTCCGAGCTGGCGACAACAGTAGCATCGATTATCCCCATCCATAACGCCGTCAACGAGCGTGCCTGGAGGCAGATCCTCGAATGGGAAAGCCAGGCGCCGTCGTCAGATCCTGGTAGCAAGAAATGCGGTGGACCAAAGCTGTATTCATTCCGCGGGCTGGGCGCCGATCCCCAGTTTCTCAGTCCCCGCGCCCGGTTCAACAGCTTACTAGGATACCAAAAGCCCTTCGACCGACATGACTGGGTGGTGGAAAGATGTGATGGCGAGCGTGTTGAGTACGTCATTGATTTCTACCAGGGGAAGTCATCAGGAACGGACGGCGCTGCAGCTGGATTGACGGCCAACGCGGGGCCAGGGAAACTCAGTTTCTACCTCGACGTACGGCCAAAGCTCAATACGTTCGAGGGCTGGAGGATGAGATTCAGACGCTTTACGGGGCTATAGAACACGCGTCTGTGTCAACCAGTTAACTGGTTTGTTTATTATTCCCCGCTTGCACATATAGAGGCGATAAGGAGTTTGGGTGTATATTAGCAGCAATTATCTCGGTGTATGTTCTTGTATAACACAGCAGCTATGTATGATAAGGAACAAGCACGCAAAACAGAAAACATAATGAAATATTCTTCACTCCAAATGCGCCTGTCGTTCATCAAGGAAATTAGTCATGAGTGTGGTGAATCGGTACCAGCAATTCAAGGTAAAATAATACATGGAATCGTACAGGTCAGGATATCGGTCGTAAGAGGGAAGTTGAAAGGATAGTCGGTTCGAGAAAGGCCAATCGAAGTAATCCGGGTCGTCACGATACAGTCATAGCAGACTATCCGAGTGTGACTGCTAGGACAATAATAACCAAAATCACGGCGAGAATAAGAAGGAGGCAGCAAGCCTTGTTCCGAGCGTTCTTTTGGTACCTGCTGGCGCTACGAAGCTCGACGTTCGCGCCCCGAGTGTCCGTAGTGACTCTCTCCACGTTCTCGCTAATGATATCCAGCTGGCCTCCTTGTTCGTGAACAATATGCGCTACGTCACGGAATAGTTCGTTCAGCTCGCCAACGCTTTGCTCAATGTTGCGAATCTCCGCTTCGCGCTCGATGATAAGAGCCTCCTGGAAGTCCACCTCATCTTGGTTGGCGAGACGAGGCTGCTCCTCGAGCAATTGTTGTTGCTGCTGGGGGGTACCATCTGCTGGCGCATGTTCCCCCTCTTCCACTGCTGTGCGAGCGGCAACTGCAGACGCTCTTTGTTTCTCCAAAGCTCGACGCTGAACGGTCTGGAACTCCTCCAGTGTCGCTTTGAACTCAGAAGACAGCTTTTGTTGAGTCCATTTTTGTGAGGGCTAATAAGTCATTTAGTATTAGTCGCAGCCAAGGGGAGCAACAGCATATATTCCGGCAACATACATTAACATCCTCCCACATTTGGACTTTCTTGATCCCTTCGCCTACATGCTTGAACCCAGATCGAGTTTCCTCGAGGAGATTGTGAACTCGTTCCCGCACCCGCTCAGTGTCCCTTTTCGTTCCTAGAAGCGCGATCTGGTCCGACAACCGAGTGATATTCGAGGTTAAAGTGAACAACTGGTTTGAGAGACTCTCTGTTAGACGGTCAAAGTCGGGGTCATCACGGTAGTGAGGATCCTCAGAACGGCGCATAGTAGTAGGCTGCGCCTCTAGTGGGCTCAAACGATCGAAGGACATGATGTGCGTCGTTATGTTGAAATTAAGCGATAGAGGGGTAGGTATGTTGCAGCAGGATGATGCATCAACATGCGGAGGTTGCCTTGGGAGGAGCACTGTTGATGCCTGGATCTGCAGGCTTCTATCACATGATGTATCTAGTGCGGCGGTGCCTTGGAAATCCGCAAGCGGAATAGCGTAATCTACCTTCATCATCTAGCCTCATCACCTGACCAATATGGCTGTGGCTGGTGTGTTTTGATGCTGTTGCCCCAAAAGCTTCAATTATTTTATCATCGCATTCGGGCAAGCTGTCAACGCATCGGCCTCGTTCCTGGAGCTCCACAGAGGCGCCATTGTACCTCAATCTTCTATTTCCCTGGTACAGGGTTCAAATCGCTCGGCGACTTTGATCATGCTCTAAATTTCTTACGTCTACTTCTCTACCTAGAGATCTTAGTGTCCCTCTTTCATTCTTCATCATGGCCGCCGCTAGGCCTCGGCCGTATAGGCGCATTCTGACATCTGCGCTGCATCGCAGATTTGTCCATGCATCTGCCCTAGCGCTCTCAGTCTGCTATTTTGTTGCATTCCTTCTCGGAGACAAATCATCCTGTAAGTGGCATGGTTCACAAGTGGTCAAGTTCTGCATCGGGCTATTCTGTATAGCTGCAGTTGGTAGCTGACAGCGTCCCTTCTCTGCTAGTTTTATGGGCATGGTTCCCAATTGGAGCATGCGGTTTCCGCGCAGTTCTTCTCTTTCTCTCCAGTCTCGTCGTTTTCGTTCTGCGCGTCGGCCAGATGCACCTTGGGTCGAGAACAACTGCATCACCGATCGGCACGTTTAAGTACCTTGCCCCCCTCAATGTCATACAAACCTTCGGCTGGTACCTGTTCTCTGCTTGGTGGTTCAGTGAGATCTACAAGTGGTCGTGTCCTACAAGCGCGCAACTTGAATGGGTCAAACGGGGCAGGTATGTGTTCAATTGAATCAAGATGGATTCTGCAGGACTATTCTAACCTAGAGAGGGAGCAGGCCACACGAGCGAGCAACACTGAATGAGAGACCGATCTATCTTCATACCTACCATGTGCTGTTGGCAATGGCCCAGTCGATGGTCCATCTCTACTATGACTATGACCGCGTTCCTATCCCTGTGGTTAAGCCAGACTCTGGTGCTTCAGACCGCAGAACTCATCCGGTAGAGCCAGTCTCCAAGCGCATCCAAAGGGCTTTACCCGGAATGATCAGGGGTGGTCTCGCAAGGAGCGCACTTGTTGCAGCCATTTGCCCGTTTGCCTACGTCCTCCTCCTCAGGCGGCCAGCATGGAGCTTCACCTTGTATTTCGCCAAGCTGTTTTGGAATTTTCCTAGATCTGCAGCGGATCCTCCTGGTGTTATTCCTGACTTTGGGTTTGGCCTTATGATTCGGACTGCCATATCCGGAGGACTACTAACCCTTTGCTGGCAATCCGCGAACCTTTTCTTCTCGGTGTTTATCAGCAAGGAACCCCTCAAACTAGGTCAACCATTGACTGCAGAAGCAAAGGATCCTAACGGCAGCCTACTGACCGGCCTAAAGGCGAAGAAGGAGACAGTAAAGGCCTTTGCATTCTGGGAGCTCTGCCTCATCAGTCAGCAATTTCCTGATCGGCGAAAGGCGATTTTCAATGACATCGACCGTGAAGGTGGCTCCACTTGGACTCAGATCCTGCAGTCTGCCACTGAGGTCATCGAGGGCGTTTCTAACAGGATCAATGAGAAGAAAAACCCGGCATCAAACGCGAAGCCAGAGGAGCAGACCGAAAAATCACAACCTGTTCTCCATGCTCTGCCCCGCTTAGCAGAGCCTCCCAAGGAAGACAACATTTTTGCGAGCTCGCCCAAAGCGGTATCGCGACATGAGAAAATCGGAGAGGCCTTCAGTTCGGCTGCCAAGAAGTATGGACAATCGCCCGACTGGACTCCGACAGCTAGGGCTCGAGCTCGTGATGTCTTTGACCGCGCATCTTCAGCTGTGCTGAGCCCTGAACGAAAACAGAAATTGCTCGCTTCTTCCCGGGAGCTCAAGATGCTCACCGGACCAACGAGCAAACCAGAGAATGTGCACCCTCTGCTCGCACAGGTACTTCGCTCACCGATAGGCCTCATCCTCCGACAGACTTACGCCCGCCGGTTATCCGGAATAGTCCTCGGCACACCGCATGCAAATATATCTTCCATCGTTGATGCTATTGAGTCGTTGACCCGCCTCCTCATCGCAAGTCTTGCAGAGGATCAATACGGCAAAGTACAAAGCGATGTTCCTGGGGTTGTGCGCCTCTTCACAGAGACCATCACGGTTCTTGAGCCATTCATCAACGGCGGGCTAGATGCTCACTGGACGGATGTGAACTTCCCACCCTCTAGCGACCCCGACGCCCAAGCCCAAGCGCGTCGTGTTCCAGAGGTGGACCTCGTGCTGGATACAGTTAGGAGTTGCCTCAAAGACCTCTTATCAGCCTTCAATCTATACTTCAAGGACATTGGACTGGTCGGGAAGGATCTCCGATTAGCAACAGAAGCTGCAGGGTTGATTGAGGATAAATATTAACTCACCCCTGCCATATTCCGCGCCCTCCGGGCCGAGCTCTGATGAGAAGTACTTTCTCGTCGGATTTTCTCTCTACTGACATCTACTTCTCTTTTCCAAATATTTGCCTTTTTCCGCTTCCGTGGGCCGCTGGCTATGCATTTTTCAGGCGTTTGTTTCTGCCCTTTTCAAGCAATATGACAATTACTTAGGACTGTACACTACACCTAACTGCGGATTTATGTGACCTCATGCAAAAAAAAGAAGTACCTCATCTGATACCGGTAACTGAACTAGTATCCTAGCTTTTGTGTATCCTTTTTATATGCACGCTTTATTTTGGAGGTCTATATACAGCCACCCAGCACCAGCTGGGCCTTGCATGCAGCATATCTTGTCCCGAACTGTCCAGACATGGCTCGTTGAGCCGCAGACCGAGAGACCCAAGGGTCTGAAGTTAAAGTGAGTGAGAAAGAAGAGGGCGAGGAGAATGCGGAGCTTGGGATGAGAAGATAAGAAGTGGGAAGTAAGAAGTGAAACCCCAACTCGACCTAAAAACAAACCGTATATCGCGCGCGGCCAAACCCAGACGAGTAGCCTCCCACAGAAATCCCCGGACTCCGATATACCCTTGCCAAAGTTGCAATAGTAAATGATAAAATAAAGTATATGAGATCATGTCACGTCATTTCAGAATGCCACCCCTGTGTATATCCTGTAAACTCTTTATCTGCTGTTTATATAGTCTCCTAGTTTCTTTTCTTTGCGTTTCGCAAGCTCAGTATCCGAGGTGAGACTTTTGAATGTGAAGTGCGGCAGTGGTCCAGACGCTATCAAGTAATAGGGCGACCACAAACGAAGAACTCGAAAGTGATATGACCTAAGTGATCGTGAAAGGGAGAAAACAGATGTTGGTTGTATGTACGAGAGTCGAGGCTGCTAGAAGCAAGGGTTGCTATCAGAGAACTAGAAAGTCCTGAGAATCGTCGCAATCCGTTGCTCCTTCACCAAACGACCTATAGACATACCCGTAGTTGTCAGCACGGGCTCAGAACCTCATTAATCTTATTTGACGTGAGCGACCCCGTCGTTGCTGGCGCAGCAGAGCCTGCTCCACTGCCGTGTGTGGTGTTTGTGGGTTCCGGAGGCGCTTCTTCCTTCATGCACGCGTTTTCCAAGACGTTGGTCCATTTACCACTTGTACCCGCGTGGCTGTGCTTCAGATGCTGTCGAAAATGATCCGCACGGTAGAATTTCTTTCCGTTGTTGCACTCCCCGAACTTGTGCACTGAGGTAAGATGTTCAAACCTGCGATCCCAATCGGGCTGCGGAAAGTTTGGAAACTCCTCGCCGCAGTAGCCACAAGCATCGTGAGAAGGACCCGACTTTGTTTGCGCGGTTGGGGAAGTCGAAGGGTGGAAAGCAGCTTGATACCCTGGCAAGGCGGCGCACGACCAGGAATGACGCCGCAAGTGAAGAGAGTTCTGATGACGTTCAGCCTCGTTTTTATTCTTGAACCGATTATTGCAGAACTGGCAAGAATATTGCTTCTCCATCTCATGTGCACTAGACAGGGTATTAGTCACTAAAGATCAGTCACAGCAGATAGGATGGTCAAATCATACCGTAGTTCAGCAGGACTGTCGAACTTTTTAGGTTTCTTCGGACAACAGTCACAGATATACAGTCCAGCCATCTTAGGCGCTGCTGATTTTGGCACACTAAGGGTAGTCTGCAATTTTTTCGTGCTATCTGCGTTTCGTAGTTCGGATGCGTTAGGGACTTGTGCGTTCCTCACACTTTGCTGACTAGCTAGTCCTCCGGGAGAAGTTGAACTGATTGGCGATTTGTCATGGAGAGCGTCGAAATCAGAATTTGGCGACAGGCCCCCAGGGGAAGGACGATCAAATGTCGACATGCTCGTCATACTGCTTCCTCCGATGGACATGGCCGCTGACGAATACGTCCCTGAAGTCCTCAAACTTAATGATGATGCGGCAGACAAACTTCCGTGGCTTTGTGTATAACCACCATTGACCGAAAGGGTGTTGGTATACGGATGTCCAGATGTTCTTCGCTGAGAAAGATCGCCATTGCTTGTGGTAATATGGGGCGCATGTCTATCGTCTTTCACTGGCTCGCGCGGTGGTGAGGAGGCTCTCCTCTTAATACCTGACTTCGAAGCGTCCAGATAGGGTGGCGTTGCTTCACGGAGGTTGAAATATCGTGAGGGCAACGACTCATCGGTGGAAAAATCACCTTCGATATCCGAAAAAACGCCTTGGTCATAGCTTCCGCGGTTTGATCGACTTGGTAAGCTAAGAGTTTCTTCACTTTGTGGTGTTGTGCCACCTCCCCGGCGCCGATATACGTCACGCAGAAAGGCCGAGTGGTCGTACTCCACCGCTGAAGAAGGGGCGCTACTCTCAACACTGGGGCTTCGGTAGCCGAGATAATCTCTCCAACCGACCTTGGTACCAGGAGAGACTGCACCAGACTGAGAGTTGCTTGGCCATCGCACGTCGAGCGTTGGTCCATCGGAACCCCCAGGAGATGGCAACCCCCCAAAATTTCTCGGGGGAATGGGCAGCGTCGACAGTGAGGCCTTGGTATCGTTACCAAGGCTAATTGATTGTCGGGGAGAAAGCGGTTTGCCTATCTTGGAAAGAAGATGTTGGTCGTATGCGTCTGATGAATCCTTTACGCTTCGTCTGGAAAAATCTCGCTCGCCTTTCAATATGGGCCCGGGTGCATTGATGTTAATGGAATTGCGAAATCCTTCTTCCACCGCTGGCGGAGGTTCTATCTTTATATGCGCCTTCGGACTTGTCGAGACAGGCAAGCCACTTTGTCTTCCGTCCAGCTCATCCAAGGCCATTCGATCAGTCTTGCATACAGATTCCAGGCGACGATGGCCTCCAAACAGGCTAGAACCGGGATTGATTGGCGCAAGTCTCGTCGACCCAGGATGATTTCTGGCGTTCGCAAATAGCCAACCGGCATCATGGCCATCTTCGAGGTCAGTGATATGCGGCGGTGGAGGAAGTGGCGGCGGGGCGAAGTTAGTTATCGATTTTACCGGTATAGGCATCGGTCTGAGGGGTGAGTAGGACTGTCGAGACATGCTTTTTGGCGATCCCTCGGTAGAGTAAGATTGGTCATACCCACTACTATTGATCTCATGCACATTTATCAATGGTGGGGAGAGTCGCGGAAAGTCCATGGTACAGCGTAGTCATCAACGGACAGATAGAAAGACAGCCAACAACCGGAAAGGACGGAAAATGCAGCCGGATCAAGAAGAGAAGACAGCGTAACGTGAATTGCTCCAATGGTTCGACAGCTAAAGACTCTCAGCCCTAGCCCTAGGACGGATTCGTTTCACGTCACAGATGTCGCCAAGGTTCACTCAAGGAGATGATTGCGACCAGGCAAAGTAATAGAAAATGGAAGGAAGAAATTTTGTCAGAAGAGAGTGTGAAGTATCTCAAAGTCTATAAAAGCGCGTAAATGGCCAGAAGTCAGGTCGGTCTGGTCTCAACAAGATAGGGCTGCAGGAAACCAATTCTTCCTTGACAAAGGTCCTTATTTCCGATCAGTTGGACCAACGATTCGCTGCGTCAACGGCTTTCTGTAACACTCGCGCGCAACCCTGGAAAACCGTTTGTGTGCCATCAATTCGCCGGTCAGTGCAAACTCATTGGCAGGAAACAGCGCGGAAACCACTGAGCATTCTTGTGAGATTCGCTTGGGGAACTTGTCTTTTTGAGGGACTGGAGAAAATTTGAATATAGACGATAGCGAAGATCCACCAGAAGTGAAAAGAAAAAGAAAATTAAAGACGGAAAATCATAAAATAGGACGAGAAATGAAGAGCGCCGGAGTACAAGACGGCTGTGATGAGGGTGGCGGCGTTGGTGGTGGGATGGGCGCTGAAAGCCAGACTGCAGGGCGTTTAGGTTCTTCTGGAATCACACCAGGTTCTCGATTCCACCTGATTGGAAGATATGCTGGATGAAGCTGAGTGTAATGATAAAAACGGAGTCGAAAATAGAAACAAAGGCGATGTCGCCTGCGTTGTCTTCAGCTAGAATGGTAAGAAAATGAGAGAAGCTGTTGGTGATCCAGGGACGAGATGCAAAGGCGAAAAAGAGAGATTTGAGGCCTAGGAAGTAACCTGAGACAGAGATGCAGTAGGTACGTGAGTGGACCTTTTCTGACCTCTATGCAACAGAAAGTTGGGACGGAGTATGGAGGTATGTACCTAGGTACGTTCTGTTGCGAAAAGTAGTTTATAAGAAAGTTGTCGGGAAAGGTGGTGGTGCGAGCCACTGCCTTATTGGTCCCTACAGGGCTGGAGAAGGAAGATGATGTACTCCGGAAAGTACCTAGGTGCCGCAGGGTAAGGTATGATTAAGGTGAAAATCAGTAGTTCCAAGGATCTAACTGAAGCCTCGTTCCTCCTGTCATTCCAGATTCTGACCCTTCTGTCGTGTCTTTCCTCCTCCGCTCTGACACCCAATGGTATTCTCAAACAAACAGGAGATGGTGATGGCAATGCACGTAATGTAGTACCGATGGTCGCACGAGAAGGAGATGTTGAGAGGAGGACGGGAATTATTCTTCGAGATGCAAAATTAGGAAGGAATATCTAATCGGTAGGACGGGTTGAGGACAATAACAATAATGATGATACCTTACAACAATGGTATTTGGTACCCACCTTCAACTGTGGTACTTGTATGGTGGTCTGCGCCGTAGGTGGACACTACTCCGGACAAGAACACTTTTAGCCTAGCCTTGGACAGTCCCCTTTTCCTTAAGGGGGTAAAAAAAATGAAGAGAAAAGGAAAAGAAAAAAAAAGAAAAAAAGGCTTGTAATTTATACAATGCTTGTAAATATCAAATCAAGCGAGGACTTGAGCACGGAGAGTGAAGGTAACTAAAAGAAAGAGCAGGAGAAGGGAAAAGAGTAAATTCGCAAACTCATTGTGATGAGCAAGAAAGGTAAATCTGAAACTCTCACAATTGGAGAGGTGAATTCATGCATACCTACAGGATAATCATCAGAAGAACTATGGAGTATTAGAAAAATTAACTGAAATTTTTGTGTTCCAGTCTTAACCTTGAATTTTTCGATCTGGATTTCATGGGATTCCAACAATTTAATTTAAACTTTGGGGCTTCTAGGTGCTTGGGCGATGACACAACACTCGTGTGAATATCTATCAAAATGTAACCCAGGCAGAGACAGACAGGCAAAATAGGACTGATTGCCCTGATCAACGCCAGCAACCTCCTCATGGACTATCGACTGGGTAGAAAGTGGGGGAGTCCGCTGGAATCTTTGTCCGAATACGAGTAGATATCGGCACCGTCTCTCTCGTTCGATAGTGATGCTGGTTGAAAGATCATCTCGGCTGTCTACCTTCATATCCTTTCAAATTGATTAGAGCTCGCTCATTCAACTGAGTGGTTTTGCAAGCTTGGTTAATGTCAACTGATCGATAGGCAGAAGGATTGACCAGCGAGCCTACAGAACAGCATCATGATATGAATCGGCATCGGTGTTATGACCAGGGCGTTGATACTCAGACAGTGTACCTTGACAGCTGCCTAGAAGCTCGTCAGCGTATTACAGGCTTGTCTTGGCGAGACATGGGAATATTGACTGTCAAGATTCGTCGATAAAGCTTGCTCCAAGAAGACCAAGACTACCTTACTCAAGTACGAGGGACCCGGTAGTAGCCGCAATTTATATATAGGCACATAGCTATGAAGGACTCGAGAAGATTGATAACTTCATAAGGCTAGGGAGATAATGGAGCTCAATAATAATAACTTTACTCTGTAAGCCTTGTAAGGTCACCCAAGTTCTAGTCAAGATGTTAGGGAATGGATCAAAAGAATGATTCCCCATGAAGTCAAGTCGAATCATCACCTCATCAGTAGTAAGCTAGGAACCAGCAAACAGTTCAGTTTCAAGAGCGGTGAACATAACACTAAGCTAATCTGGGTCTAGACAACGGGTGTCAGGTTAATTTATGATTGAGGCAGTGCTGGACTTGGTATGGTTTTTGTTCAATGATACTCCTGTTTTGATAATGATATAATCTTTTTGTATTTGACGTATTTGAAAAACCAACTAAATGTTAGGGATGCGACCTAGGATGTCATTCGGGCCATCTATGAGAATGCTAAACATTAAGCCATAATGCCACGCTGCCATGCCGTTTATCAACTTCGACTTATGGTACAATATACCAATATCTGCCTGAGTCTGTAGGCAGACATTTCAAGGACCCTGCAACCGCCTTCAACCTGTATAGTTCTCTGTTCCATTGGGTGACAGCCCTAGGGTGACGGAAGGAGAGTTTCAATGCAAGGATACTATTAGCGACAAGAGTGAGCCTTTTGAGACCATCTTTTCCATAAAGGATCGATTGAAACAACTCATCAAGAAATGTTCGTCGCCAAGTTAAGGTGCTCCGAGAACGTACTAAGGTACTAGGTACTGCAGTATACCCCACCATACCTACTTGTGCAAGCGAACCAAATCAATCTGAATGGCGAGAGGACGCTTGACCCGCTGCCGTTCAAGGCTTAGTAAGTTCCACTAAACTCTTAGATACATGCACTGCCACAGTGCTGGACCGCTGGTTGTCCATCGACGTCTGTTGCATCAATTGGATTGTCTAAGGGGATCCAAGGATCTCCGTAAGCATGGCGAAAAAAAGGTCTACAGGTGTGCCTTTGCAGTTTGAGGAGAGATTGTAGAGAATACCTTAAATAGAAGAAGCCTGTCTTATAGAGCACCATCTGGATTCAAGTGAAAGGGACTTGAATCATTCGTTCTATAACTATTGCATAGTTCAGTGTCATGTAATAATTTGTTCATCACTTAGAATCTACAGACAGAGCATGACAGTGACTCCACCAAATGTCGTAGCTTACGTCTTTCCCATGCCTTATCCCCGTATTGCCTTGTCTCGGAGGATGCAAGAGGAATAGCTTGCCTACAGCTATCAACCGATGATTGGGCAAGGAGGGAAGGAGGCAAAAAAGAGTTATTAATCTGCAACTCACGGAGTCCATGGTCCCAGATCAGCCAGTACTCAGTTACTGCTAACCTACCAAGATACCTAAGTAAGGACCTACCTAATTAGGCGTCTTGCTCCGGTTGTATGAAATTCATTATTTTCAGTTCTGAGCTGGTTTTTAGTAACTTTTATTTCGCCACGAAGCGTGATTGCAAGGTAATTGCTAGGTACGCAGGTCTCTCATAATTAGTAGTATTGAACACGCACACCTGCATCCACTGGTGGTGGCAACCCAGGAGACTGGATCGGTCGCTGTAGCCATTCCAATTTTCCAGCCATTCGGCGACCATAGTGGCCTGTCTTTTGCCATCGCCCTTGGTACGGACTACGGAGTACTCTCCTACCTTAATTCCCAGTTCTGATTGTCTTGAAACTTGGCTTAAACAAACAGATATGTCACTGGTCAGCTTCCATTGGTCAACTTTTTAGAGCGTTTTAAGGATGACTCCGTACCACAGATCAAAATCTGTAGCGAAATATTTCAACCCCACCTCGTACACTAGCGTGCCTGGATTGTAGGATTCGAGAAACCTGCAAATCAGTGGGCCAATAGTGCTCAAGCAGGCCTCATACAACTGAAATTTAGTTGTCTCTATGCTAACTGGTTATCTAGGACCTGGAACTAAGAGTCAGGAACGTCAGCCCTCAGCGCTTCTTGAATCTTCCCGCAATCCAGAGCCTATCGATCAATCGAACTAACCACAAGTTCCACAACGTAACGACTAATGTACTACCTATGTAGCTCGGTAGGCCCAAGAGTCTCATAGAAGTCTAAGAT